AAGACACTGTCCTAACAGAGTTCCAAGTGTTCTGAATAGGGAGTGGAGGAAAAGGAAATAGGAATCATTCTATCTAGAGAGCTAGTAATATGTTACCCTTGCGAGATAAACTTTGGGACGGATCTTGATTTTTTTATCTGTAATATTACATAATTTGTGTTTCAAAAAACCTAAAAAAGATTAAGTATGTAATGCTGACCTTTGGGTTATAGCACATATTCATGAATCTAAATCTATTGAGGATATAATTCCTACTCATAAAAGGAAAACTGAACATGCCCATTAGTTAACAGTCAGGAGGCATGGTGCAATTTTCTCATCTATAAAGGACCAATAAAGCAAGGCAGCTCTATACTACACTATGTACCACCATCAAGGAATGGCTTCCAGACTGTGTAGATTTCCACACATTTCCAGTCCTTAATCTAAAGTACATGAATGGATCCTAGAGCAGCTTCTAGCATTCTAAAATAATGGGTCTTATACAAATATAGATATTCAGTGGTTAGGGCCAGGAGAGGATCTTGGCTCTTTCTTCCTGTGTGAGGCGGGGGAGGTAACATCCCAAAACCCTCCATAGTTTTTATAAAATTCTTAGAGGTCCATGGACTCAAAACATTAACACTTCTAGAGAACATAAGAAAAATGCTTATTCAACAAATATCCGTTCAACACTATGTAGAGGCTTCATGTCATCTCTGCCCTCAAGGTGGAGAATGACATGAAAAATAAGTATTCTGAATAATTTTAGTGACTTATGGCCTAAAATCTTTTTAAAAATTTTTTACATTTTTTGTTATCAAGACGAGCAAACTTGCCTTGTGAAGTCACTCTGCCTGTTCATCTCAATGACCTAAGAAAATGACCTTTATAACTTGTATAAAATGCCTAGCACATGGTAGGCCCTCAAATGTTAGCTCCTTTCCCTTTACTTATCAGTTTAATGTCACATATATCTTTTTCTATCCTTTCCTTATCTAGAGCTTCATGTATCATTAATTGAAATGAGATCTTGCTGTTGGAATGTTACCCAGATAGAAGTAGAAGGTATGATGTGACTTTCCCCATATTTTTATGCTCATAAAGTGTGGCAGTGCTATAGAAGTCTTTAAATAATGTAGATAAATGCCAAAAGTTCTGACAATATAAGGCACTGAATGAGTAGTAGTTCGTAAAAATAAACAACAAAAGGTTAAATAGCAGTTTCATACCCAAAGAAAATGAGACCAGAAGGAACACTGGCAAGTTTAACAAGTTATAAGGAACCTTAGAGTACATCCATTCTATTAATGAGAAGGCTGAAGTTCAGAGTTACATTCACTCAAACCCAATTTAGATCAGAACTAACTCTGCTATGCAGCATCTGATATCAAACTGCATGCAGTTTGAATAAATCATAATGCTTGCTAGAATTTGATTTCTGTTATCTATAGATGTATCTCTTCAGTTAAAACTAGAGTACAAAAATCTTAGAGAAGAAACAACACACACATATAAGGGTTTGTGTCTAGTTGGAGAACACTGAAATGGACCTTAGAATATACTTAGTCCATCTGCTCCATACCTTTTTTCTTTTTCTCTTGTTAATTCTTTCAAAAACAAGTAATTTTTTTTTTTTTTTGCCAGGCGCAGTGACACATGCCTGTAAACCTAGCAGTTCAGGAGGCTAAGGCAGGAAGATCATGAGTTCAAAGCCAGCCTCATCAACGGTGAGGCTTTAAGCAACTCAGTGAGACCCTGTCTCTAAATAAAATATAGGGCTGGCAATGTGGCTCAGTGGTCAAGTGTCCCTGAGTTCAATCCCCAGTACCCCCCCACCCCCCCAAAAAAAAACACAAGTAAGTTTTTTATATAAATAAATTATTTTTAAAGTGTGGGGGGAAAGAATATACTTATTTCAAACTTAATATCTTGGAGATAATGAAATTGGGGCCCAGAAATTTATTCTGAAGGATTAGTTACTGACAGAATCAGTACTAGAATTCCACGCTATGCCTTCAGATTAAAACATGAATTTTTACATGAAGGCTATGCCTCTTCAGGACTCATCTCTTTCTTTAGTGCCCCCTATATCTGAGAATCAAGGATTCTTCTATTTACTCAAAACATACCACCCTTATCTATCCTTCCATGCACACTGCTCCATAGTCAGTTCCTAATCATCTCTACAACCCCTTGACTCCAACCAATATCTAACCCAATGTATACTTCCTTCACCTTTTCTTAAATCTTTTCAATAGTTTAAATTACAAAGTTGCTAATGTCTAATAACGGTGTAATGATTTACCCTTTCTTTGTATGTTTCCATAGAAGTGTATTAGAAAAGATACTCTTAACTCCCAAAGACATACTTTTTGTCATGAAACATTCATAAATGATTTTTGGAAAAATAAGTAATTTTAACCAGAAAAATTATAAATGCAGTGGCACAAGAGAACTCTCTGGGGATAATGAAACTCTTCTAAATCTTGGTTATGGTGGTGTTTATATGACTATGTGTTTGTTAAAATTGGAATTATACACCAAAAAGAAACTTATTGTATGTAAATTTAAAAATTAACTAAAAAATCTGAAAAAAGGGGAAAAAATGTAATTTCATGGTCTGTTGATGCTCCTTAGTCTTTATGACCAGGGGAAACCACAATGCAATATTAGGCTTCTAAAGAGAAATATTCTAATGGTAGAAATTTAGTCACTGAGGGAGGTTTATTGGGGAGCTATGTTTGGAAATTACTTTTTAGTTCTCTGAAATCAGAAAATCCCCATTCTACTCAAGATTAGGGTTGGCATTGATTAGGGAAAATGAAAATGGGACAATTAGGAGGACTGGAGAAGGTAGGTGAGAATTAAGACAAAAGAATTTTAACATCTAGAACAAGTAAAGCCAAAAAGCTCCAAATAAAACCAAAAACTGGATTAAATGATGAAAAAGTGATTTGTTTTTAAGTTAAAGGTTTTACTTCAGAAGTCCAATTAAAAAAGTATCTTGCTTGATAGCTTACCTGGGATCAAGTAGTCCTCTTTCCTATGCATTGTTGGTTGATCGTTTGATTTCTACGTAGTTCTTACCCAATGTTTTGATACATCACTCATGCTAACACATGCATTTGATTCATTTAATTGATACTGATAGATTACTAAATCTAAAATTAATAGTTCTGGCATTTTTTTGCCATTATAACCTTTACATTACACTGCAATGTTTTGGACTTGCAGATTTATTTTTCTACCTTTCCCCGTAAGACTGTCAAACTTGTATGAACACATCTGTGTTTACTTATATTCATATCCCCAGATCTACCTAGTATATTATCTGACACCTAGTGGATACCCAATGAATATTTGCTGAAGAAACAAAAGTCCTGTTTTAAGCACAGAAGGAAATGTGAAAATAAATGTGTTATAACTCTTGCTTGCAAAGAAGCTATGACTTAGTGGTCATGTACTATCTATATGGGTAAATAAGAAGACAAAGGAAGGGAAAGATTGAGCATAGTCTGACCATGGAACCCAGTTATCTTAATGCTTTACTAGGGTCATATGAATTGCATGAAGATTGAACATTAAAAAGGAATATTTAGGATTGAAATTGTGCTGTATTGTAACTGTATTTGTTCTTTAAACACCACATGGCCTAGATGATTGCTCTGGAAAGAAAATAACTATAAGTCAACAATCCTTTTTCTAAAACCCTAGGGTCAGTGTAATCTAGAATTCATGAGTCTTTAGAGTTTAGAATGGCAATAAGGTCCACACACTGTATCATGGAATGTACCCAGAAGGGTCTGTGCAGGATACTGTGATCAATGTTTCTGCTGGGGAGTGAATGATGCTCACACTTGTGGGTGAGTACAGCCTGCAGACACCTTCCTATTGTTACCGCTGTTGACCGGTGATGAGTCCTTGCTTCTCCAATGTTGAAGAATAACACCAGAGAGCACGCCGAGGCAAGGTCAGAGTAGAAATTAGAAGTTTATTAAAGAACAGCAGAAAAGACTTCTCCTGGAGGAAGAAGGGGACCCAAGAGGTGGAATCCGTGGAAGTGTGGTTGTCTCCCCTTTTTATAGTTTTGGTGATGGAATGTAGGTTGGAAGGCCTGAGGGGTGGGACACAGGTGGGCCAAACAAGTAATCTGGGCAGGAAGGACTTCATTATCACTTCTTGGGATGGGCTATCTTCAAATCTGCTGGGGCTGTTTCCTGGGTTCCATTAACATTTCTTTGGGGTGGACTTTGGCCTAGGGCCTTTCCGGGACTTCATTAACATTCCATGAGTTGTCCTGCGTTTCCCGGAATCATTGTCAGCATGGCCTCCATTTTAGATCTTACTCAATATTAGACCCGATTTACCTAACTACACTGACTACCTAACTTTAAATCTGGCTTCACTATCAGTTCAGATCAGGCCAGGTTTTACTTTTCAGTTACCTAATTTCCTCATCTGTAAAATCAAGTTGTATTTAACTTCTTCAGGCTATGTGTTGACCAACACAAGTGCTTGAGTCAGAACTAAAATAATCTAAATCATGCACTAATTTAGAGATAATGGTCTCATGCTTCCCAGGTGAATCAGAGGACTTAGAAATCACTCTTCACTTCCATTAGCATTTTCTCAGTCTAAACAATGATGCTTTCATATGAACTGTTTTATTCCTTCTACAAAAGCTATGTGAAAACATTATTTATTAGGGGAGGGCTTAAAAAACCCAAATAGTGTAAATTACCAACACAAACCCCAGAAATCTTGAACTGTGTACTTTTGTTGTTGTTCTTTGGTACTGGGGATTGAACCCAGGGGCATTCTACCACTGAATGGGCTACATCCACAGCCCTTTTTATATTTTATTTTGAGAAAGTCTCCCTAGGTGCTAAGGCCAGCCTACAACTTGCCATCATCCTGCCTCAGCCTCCCCAGTCCCTGGGATTACAGGTGTGTGCCACCACACCCAGCTTATGTTATGCTCGAATTCGGGACCCCCAAAGACCACCAGAGACCCAAGATCAATGCAAGCAGCAAAGAGGTGTTTATTGCAAGCTAGCTCAGTCCTCCGCACGCACACACAGCAACTGGTGACACTGAGAGGCCCCGAGCCCAGGGTTTGCAGCATTTTTATACATTCTTTGGAGAGGGCAGGGACTTCACATACATCATAGCCTCTTTTAGCAAATCATCACACACCACAGGAAAATCAAATAACAACTCTAAAACATGATTAGCACATTCACTGACGGGAACAAGTTGGGTAGGGGTGATTGGTCAGTACAAAAGGGGTATTCGTTTGAACTGATTGGTTTGAGCCAAGAGGGGTGTACGTGCTGTACTACATGGTTTCCCAACTTGTTATCAATCACCATAAAATACTGGAAGGGTCATCTGGTATCCCAGGTATTTCCCTGTCTCATGCTGATTGGTGGCTACTAGGGGGCTGCTATGGATCCCCACCTAGCTTGACTGAGTCAGGACACCTGGCGCAGCAGATCTCTCCTTTATTTGTAGATAAACAACTTAGCAGGGTGGGAATTGTAAGAGTAAAAGAAATTGAAGTTAAAGTGTAAAAGACTGGGTATCATAAAGTTTCTAAGCTGCAAAGCCTGAGTTAAAATGTAAAGGACCAGGTATTGTTAAGTTCCTATGCTACACCCAAAACCTGAAATTCCTGTAGCTGTTAGGACAATTCCCAGGACTGCCCAGTAAATATTTCCCCTGACCATCTAGTTGTTTAATAACCTAGGACCCTGTGCAGCTTAGCACGTAGGCATCTCAGGGCCTAAACCAATCAGTTTGAATGTGTACCCCGCTTTAGAACTGACCTATCACCCCCGCCCGACCTGTTCCCGTCAATGAATGTGCTAATCAAGTTTGAGAGTTGTTGTTCGATTTTCCCGCGCCTCATGATGATTTGTTCTGATGTATGCAAAGCCCCTGCCCTCCCCAAAAAGTGTACTTAAGCACTGCTTAACCTCTGCTCGGGGCTCTGGGCCGCTCTCCCTTGTTGAGTGAGCCTGGAGCCCCAGCGCGCTGGATTGGATCCTCAATAAATCCCCTTTTGCTGTTGCATGAGCCGGTATCTTGGTGGTCTCTTCCTGGTGAAAGTAAACAAACAGATCTGTTAACGTCCTTTTTTGTTCACATATTAAAACAATCCTCAACAGCTGTTTACCCAATTTAAATTAAACAATTTAAATCACGTGAATGAAAAAAAAATACTTGGATCCATTTTTTCATGACGTCCGCCGGACCCTTACAGGAATGTGCCTAGGAGTGCTCTGTGGGTTTTTCCAAGGACTAAGGTCATGTCCCTTCCTTTGACAGGCTTTGCTCTGAGATAGAGGCTGGTTTTTCACTTTGAACTGTTTTTCTTAGAGCATAGACTAGAAAAGATAAAGAGCTGTTAATTACACTGTGAAGGTATAATATTGCAGCATAGATTTTATATATAAAGTTTTTAAAAATATTATGCATTTTTAATTTAAATAGCTTTAAAAGATGTGTTTTAAATAGTTACAGAAAATTTGTCACCTGGTGTTAGTTTCACAATGGTTGTTGCATCTGATTGGGAAATGTGCAAAAAAACAAAACCAAAATAAAACAAAACAAACCACATTTGTATTCATGGCTGTGATGGTTTTCTTTTGTATAAATTGAGCACTGAAATACTTAGGGTCAAAAATGCTGTTTTTTTGCCAGGTATGGTGGCACATGCCTGTAATTCCAGGAACTCGGGAGGCTGAGGCAGGAGAATTGCAATTTCGAGACCAGCTTCAGCAATTTAGCAAGGTCATAAGCAATTTAGCGAGATGCTGTCTCAAAGTAAAAAATAAAAAGGGTTGGGGATGTGGCTCAGGGGTTAAGCCCCCTTGGGTTCAATCCCCAGTATAGGGTGGGGATGGGAGTGATGCTGTTTATGCCAGGTGTGGTTGCCGCAGTCTGGCTGGGCACCAAATAACCGAGCCACCACAAAGCCTTGAAGATTCAAACAGCAACTCTTTATTCCCGAATTCTCACCGACACTCTACACACACTTCCCGTGAACACCCTGCCTCCACTGGCTCCCGCACCAATTCTCTCAGAACCCCCGAGTCTCTTAGAACCCCTGCGAGAACTCCAAAGGAGCGGGTGCCTGAGGCAGCAGGATAGCCCTAATCCCAGCAGGATCTGCCCTAATCCTGGAGCTGCACTATTCCCAGCAGGATCCACCCTAAACCTGGAGCCACCCTAATCCCTGAGCAGGGTCACCTTTCAACCCAAAATGTCATTCCTACTTGGCTATGGCTCTCAGCATGTGATGGTGCACACCTGCAATCCTAGTGGATCAGGAGACAGAGGCAGGAGGATCACAAGTTCCAAGGCAGCTTCAACAACTTAGTGAGAACCTGTCTCAAAAATTTAAAAAAAAAAAAAAAAAAAAAGGTGGTGGTGGTGGCTGGGAATGTGGCTCAGTGGTTAAGTGCCCCTGGGTTCAATTCCTGGTACAAAAACAAAACAAAAAAAAAGTGTTTTATTTTGTATTTCCTTAAAAGGAAAGATACTAGTAGCAGTTCCTGTGTAGTGAATTTTAAATGTTGAACAATCCTAGGTTCTATGCTCAATGTCTTTGCTTGTTAATTAAGTAACGATGGACAGATTTGTGCTTTTACTTTTAAAATGGAGGAAATTCCTACACTGAAGTAATGAAAATCTTAGCTAAATATAATACTATGGTAATTATTTGCTTTCTGTTGAGGAGAAAATAAAACATTTCTTCTCATTAGCTTACTGAATGCCTATTAAATTGTAAGAGGCATTTTTAATTTCCACAGATGGAGATAGGTTAATGCTAAACTGAGCAGAGCTCAGAGAGATACCCTAGAAATGAGGCTGGTCCAGGCAGGACAAATTAGTTGGGTGTTATGGCACTGTCCTATGCTTTTGGATACATGGAACACATGGATACATTCAAATATCTTTCTCACAGAACTTACACATTAGTGGGTCATTTGAGGATAGTATCCCTATTCTTTAATTCTACCTGCAATGGATACTACTTGGGTTACAAACAACCCCTCTATTCCATTAATTGATTGAGCAAAAAGAGCATATAATACCTAATATTGTATTCCATTTTTTCATATTGTCCCTTGATGAATTTCATGTTCTCTAAAATTACTGCTATTCACTCATTCTATATTTTTTTCTCTTATTATTTTTTTGCATTACAATTCTTAAAATCACCTTGATACCACAATTTATCATATCTCTGTTTGTATATAAGGTATGTTGACACCAAATTCACATCTTCATACATCTATTTTGTATAATGATGAGGGTCTCCTTCCACCATCCATGCTATTCCCCTTCTCCCTCCCTTTCCCTCCCACCTCTATTCCCTATCTAGAGGTAATCTTCCTCCCTTGCTCTCCCTCCCAACCCTATTTTGAGTCACCCCCCCCCCCCTTATATCAGAGAAGACATTCAGCATTTGTTTTTTGGGGATTGGCTAACTTCACTTAGCATAATCTTCTCTAATGCCATCCATTTCTGGCAAATGCCATGATGTTATTATTTGTTATTGCTAATATTCCATTGTGTATAAATGCCACTTTTATTTTTATCCATTAATCCACTGAGGGATATCTAGGTTGGCTCCACAGTTTAGCTAATGTGAATTGTGCTGCTACAAACATTAATGTGGCTATGTCCCTGTAGTATGCTGTTTTTAGGTCCTTTGGGTATAGTCCAAGAAGAGGAATAGCTGGATCAAATGGTGGTTCCATTCCGAGGTGTCCAAGGATTCTCCATATTGCTTTCCAAATTGGCTGCACCAATATGCAGTCCCACCAGCATTGTATGAATGTATCTTTTTCACCATATCATCGCCAGCACTTTTTGTTGTCTTCATAATGGCTGCCACTCTTACTGGAGATGATGTCTTAGAGTAGTTTTAATTTGCATTTCTCTGGCTGCTAGAGATGATGAGCATTTTTTCGTATATTTGTTGATTGTATATCCTCTTCTGGGGAGTGTCTGTTCAGGTCCTTGCCTATTTATTGATTGGATTATTTGTTTTTTGGGTGCTTATCTTGTTGAACTCTTTATATACCCTAGAGATTAGAGCTCTGATGTGTGAAGGGTAAAAATTTGTTCCCAGGATATAGGTTCCCTGTTTACCTGTATTTCTTTTTTTAATATTTATTTTTTAGTTATCGGCAGACACAACATCTTTGTTTTGTATGTGGTGCTGAGGATCGAACCCAGGCCGCACACATGCCAGGCGAGTGTGCTACCGCTTGAGCCACATCCCCAGCCCCACCTATATTTCTTTTGCTGAGAAAAAACTTTTTAGTTTGAATCCATCCCATTTGTTGATTCTTAGTTTTAATTCTTGTGTTATAGGCGTCTTATTAAGGAAGTTGGGGCCTAGCCCCACGTGATGGATATTAGGGCCTACTTTTTCTTCTATTAGACACAGAGTCTCTGGTTTAATCCCTAATTCTTGATCCATTTTGAGAACTTTTGTGCATAGTGAGAGATAGGGATTCAATTTCATTTTGTTGCATATGGATTTCCAGTTTTCCCAGCACCATTTGTTGAAGATGCTATCCTTTCTCCAGTGCATGCTTTTGGCACCTTTGTCTAATATAAGGTAGTTGGAATTTTGTGGGTTAGTCTCTGTGTCCTCTATTCTGTACCATTGGTCTACCAGCCTGTTTGGGTGCCAGTACCATGCTGTTTTTGTTACTATTGCTCTGTAGTATAGTTTAAGGTCTGCTTTAGTAATACCACCTGTTTCACTCTTCCTGCTTAGAATTGCTTTAGTTATTCTGGGTCTCTTATTTTTCCAGATGAATTTCATGATTACTTTTTCTATTTCACTCATTCTATTATTAAGCTCTTATATGTACCAAGTGCAGTGGACACAGCCAAGCATGGATTCTAAACCTACACTTTCAGATATCAGCAAAGCAGCTACATTCTCCTGCCCAAGAAACAAATGGAGATAATTTAGCATTTTCTAAAAATATCTTAATCTTCACCATGGGACAGTAAGAACTTTCTTTAATTCACATTATGATTTTCAATTATATGGGTTAAGGCACCACAAATTTTCTGTGCCAAGGTCTCTAAAGACCTTAATGGGGGCTGGGTCTGTAGCTCAGTGGCAGGGTGCTTGCCCAGCATGTGTGAGGCACTGGGGTCAATCCTTAGCACCACATAAAAAAAAAAAAAAAAGCATTCTGTCCAACCACAACTACAATTTTTTTTTTTTTAAAAAAAGATCTTAATTGGGCCTTGAAGATAGCTAGGTTCATATATGTTATATGAACATATATGTTCATATATGTGTGTGTGGTATGTGTGTGTGTGTATATATATATATATATATATATATATATATATATATATTTTGGTACTGGGAATTGAACCCAGGGGTGCTTAACTTCTGAGCAACCTCCCCAGGCCTTTTTATTTTTTTTTAAAACTTGAGACAGGGTCTCACTAAGTTGCTTAGGGTGTAGGTAAGTTGCCAATGCTGGCTTTGAACTTGCAATCCTCTAATCAGAGCCTCCCAAGCCACTGGGGTTACAGGCATGTGCCATCATGCCCGACCTCTTATTAAAAATCTTAACCAGAGAGCTTCCAATCACTCCTGCAAGGTAGGCGGGCCTGCGACCCACCGGAAGAAGAGGAGCAGCGGCCTGCTGAGAGGCAGAGCCGCCCCCCACCCCCCGCGCCTGCCAGGTAGGCAGAACTGTGACCACCAACAGAAAAGGCCCAGTGGCCCGCGGCGGGACAGAGCTTCCAATCACTCCTGCAAGGTAGGCGGGCCTGCGACCCACCGGCAGAAGAGGAGCAGCGGCCTGCTGAGAGGCAGAGCCGCCCCCTCCCCCTGCGCCAGCAAGGTAGACGGAACTGTGACCACACACAGAGCAGGCCCAGCGGCCTGCTGAGGGGCAGAGCCGCCCCCCACCCCCCACGCCTGCCAGGTAGGCGGAACTGTGACCACAGACAGAAAAGGCCCAGTGGCCCGCGGCGGGACAGAGCTTCCAATCACTCCTGCAAGGTAGGCGGGCCTGCGACCCACCGGCAGAAGAGGAGCAGCGGCCTTCTGAGAGGCAGAGCCGCCCCCTCGCTGAGGAAGGGTAGAGCCGCCCCCCCCCGCGCCTGCAAGGTAGGCGGACCTGCGACCCACAGGCAGAACAGCCCCAGAGGCCTGCAAAGGGGCAGTGCCGCTGCCTGCGCCTGTAAAGTAGGCAGAACTGCGGCCACCGACAGAACAAGCCTAGCGGCCCGCAGAGGGACAGAGCCGCTGCCCTTGCCTGCAAGGTAGGCGGACCTGCTACCGACTGGCAGAGCAGGCCCAGCGGCCTGCCGGTGTGGTAGGCACATTGCCCCAATTGGAGGAGGGGCAGAGCCGCCGCCCGCGCCTGTGAGGGAGACTTTGCAACAATACAAGACCAATATAAATATATAGGGGGAAAATTCAATAGCACAACAGTTTCACCAAGCAGAAAGAAACTCGAACAGTATGAAGAGACAAGGAAAGAAAGGACCACAAGCAATGCAGGTCAACTCAACGTTAGAAGAGGTAATAGCTGCAGCAGATGGAATGTCAGATAAAGAATTCAGGATATACATGCTTCAGATGATCTGGAGTCTCAAGGAAGACATCAGACAGCAAAATCAGACAATGAAAGATCACTTCAACAATGAATTACATAAACAAATCCAAGAAGCAAAAGATCAACTATACAGGGAAATAGAGGTTATAAAAAACAAACAAACAGAAATCCTAGAAATGCAGGAAGCAATAAACCAACTTAAAAACTCAATTGAGAATACTACCAGCAGAGTAGAACACTTAGAAGATAGAACATCAGACAATGAAGATAAAGTATTTCAACTTGAAAAGAATATAGACAGCTTAGCAAGACTGTTAAGAAACCATGAGCAGAACATCCAAGAAATATGGGATAACATCAAGAGACCAAATTTAAGAGTCATTGGGATACAGGAAGGGACAGAGTTTCAAACCAAAGGAATGAGCAATCTATTCAATGAAATAATACGAGAAAACTTCCCAGACTTGAAGAATGAGACAGAATCCCAAATTCTAGAAGCGTACAGGACACCAAATGTGCAAAATCATAAGAGACCCACACCTAGACACATTATAATGAAGATGCCCAACATACAGAATAAGGAGAGAATTTTAAAAGCTACAAGAGAAAGGAAGCAGATCACATTTAGGGGTAAGCCAATCAGGATAACAGCTGATCTTTCAACACAGACTCTGAAAGCTAGAAGATCCTGGAATAACATATTTCAAACACTGAAAGAAAATGGGTTCCAACCAAGAATTGTGTTTCCAGCGAAATTAACCTTCAGGATGGAAGATGAAATTAAAACCTTCCACGATAAACAAAAGTTAAAAGAATTTGCAGCTAGAGAACCATCTCTTCAAAACATCCTTGGCAAAACATTACAGGAAGAGGAAATGGAAAATAGCAATGAAAACCAACAGTGGGAGGTAGGACAGTAAAGGGGGGAAAATAATCAAAGAGGAAAACAAACCATGTTTAGTAACATAAATAAACAAATATGGCTGGAAGAAAAATCCATATCTCAATAATAACCCTAAATGTTAATGGCTTAAACTCACCAATCAAGAGACACAGGCTAGTAGAATGGATCACAAAACAAGACCCAACAATATGCTGCCTACAGGAGACGCATTTGGTAGGAAAAGACATACATAGGCTGAAGGTGAAAGGTTGGGAAAAATCATACCACTCATATGGACTTCGGAAACAAGGAGGAGTGTCCATACTCATATCAAATAAAATAGATTTCAAGCCAAAGTTAATCAAAAGGGATAAAGAGGGACACTACATACTGCTTAAGGGAACCATACACCAACAAGACATAACAATCATAAATATTTATGCCCCAAACAATGGTGCAGCTATGTTCATCAAACAAACTCTTCTCAAGTTCAAGAGTCTAATAGACCACCATACAATAATCATGGGAGACTTCAACACACCTCTCTCGCCACTGGACAGATCTTCCAAACAAAAGTTGAATAAGGAAACTATAGAACTCAATAACACAATTAATAACCTAGACTTAATGGACATATATAGAATATACCACCCAACATCAAGCAGTTACACTTTTTTCTCAGCAGCACATGGATCCTTCTCAAAAATAGATCATATATTATGTCACAGGGAAACTCTTAGACAATATAAAGGAGTAGAGATAATACCATGCATCCTATCTGATCATAATGGAATGGAACTGAAAATCAACGATAAAAGAAGGAAGGAAAAAGAATACATCACTTGGAGAATGAACAATAGGTTACTGAATGATCAATGGGTTATAGAAGACATCAAGGAGGAAATTAAAAAATTCTTAGAGATTAATGAAAACACAGACAC